TATGTTTCCACACTTTACAGTTCACTAGAGCACACATTCTAATGTTCTCAGTCTGTTACTAAACGTTTCCTGGTATCGGCTCCAACAGTGGCTATTCCTCTGCCTCCGGACTTTAGTCGTCTCTTCACAGATTCCAGTGTAAAATTGATTGGGTTTAACCTTGTCCCTTGCTTATAACATCTCGGCAAGGTCCACATAGAAAAAACAGTTCTATTTTTGCGTTCGGGTCTGTTTCTGCGGGGACTATTTTACAGAGCCGTTGACCAGAAACGGCCCTGGTATATCTTCCCATCTCTCTCTCGTTGCATAGCAATAGTTCTACATGCTACAATATATTATTTGGAAGAATTCCAGCCTTTAGAGAGTCAGTTATACCCCCAGACGTACTTCCATGAAAAAATAAGTCGAAACACCCAGGCTGTCAGTATTTGCCGATGTCCAACTTGCGTAAACCTCTGAAAGTACTTGGGCTGGTGGTCAATACGGGCATTCAATCACTGACTCCAGTGTCATTAGCGAAGTCATCTTCTCCCGTGTCATAACCGAGCGGTGACAGAGTCTAACTGGTTTAACTCTCTCCTTGATTGCCCCTGTAATAGCCTATTGAAACCGGGCCCTATTATAATCGTACAAGCAGTTCAATCAGGAGCTCATGTGAGGTAGACACTCCGTGCATCTCGACAGTAACCCGAAAGCAGCAGTAAGAATTTCATTGCCAAGCTACTAGTCGCTCATCTAGTAAGAAATTCCCGTTTCTAATTGAATCAGAAAGTTCTTCACAGTTTTAACAAAAGCCGGCAACCGGACATTATCGTACAATAAAAATCCAGCAACATATCACTTCTTTAACTCTCTATACGGCAGTGGTAAGCATATATACCACTTGCTTTAAGGTTAAATAATATAACAATTCATCTGCATTGTTGATTTGTAGGATTCGTCTGGCTCACAGGGAAATCATATATTGTTTCTCTAAATGCGCGTCCACATTACTCGTATTCGTGCTCGTGTGACTCGCTATGCTCGCGAGTAATGTGGACGATACGACAAGTCACGGGGCGAGCAAATTTTAAATTTTTAATTTAAAAACTGTAGCCAATAAATTACAATACGACTACAGCCTATACACACTATGAGTAAATATACGGATCCTCACATGCCGAAGCCTGGCGAGCAACGAAGTAGTGTGGACGAAGATTTATGAACACAAGTAAAAGCCAGACGAGTCTCCCGACGAGCACAAGCCTGGCGAGCACGAGTAATGTGGACGCGCCTTAAGAGTATTAGTTGATTAATTTTTGTAATGAAGATGTGTTTTCTGTAAGGTATGAACAGACTCATAAAATACTGTGGCACATTTGATCAAAGCAATAACTGTGGAGCCAGAGAAACCGCCGTTGCTGGTAAACGGGGCTCAAAGAACATTCGTCTCTAGGCAGCGGCCGCGAAACAGACAACGGAACAACATCCGTTGCCTAGCAGCAGTTTCCTAATAATGCAAAAGTTAGGCTACGACGATTGAAGAGCTGTGTTTTCTACGTGGTCCATGCCAAGATATTATAAGCGAGGCAAAATTTAGTGTGCTCGGTTGAAAAGTCAGGCTGTGAAGAGAAAACTTTACGTGCGTTGCAGTTACAATGATAATTTGACTGTGTACTGCAGTGAGACTGTTATAATTACTGTGCTGAAAGCCGTTACCATGGAACGGCTGGTGAAGGCATTGCATGCTAGAGAAGACTTGGCGTGTGCTGTGGCGATCTGTGAGGTGTGCACATTACTGACAATAAGTTGTACTCCAGGAGCCTCGTGGGGCAGTCAGAGGTGAACACAGCAACTGGAATCTTGTGTAATTTCCATCTAAAGCAGTGCCCTTCGCGTTCGAAATGTGACTGTGAAGAGTACTGCATTTTGGTTTGTAGCGCGGAGGCAGCCAGACGTTTCGGAGGAACCTAAGGCCAAACAAGCGGCCAACACAAGCAGGCGGCAAGCTGATCTCAGGCGATTTGTTCTTCCGAAACGTCGGGCTCTCCGAAATACATGGTATTACAACCCGAAAGCTGTACTCATCCCCGCTGCTGTGAGAGGCTCAATGTATGATTCGGCCCTATACAGGTAAGGTAAAGTTGCCCCCGTGCTTAACTAATTAAGCGCTGCCCTATGAATGCGTTTGTGGGAGTGGATGTATAGATCCACATTTTCTTGACCTCGGCATTAACTGGAGGTGAATGGCCAGCTTCACGCCCCAGCCGTTTTATCCTCGGCGAAAAAGTCCCCGGTACCCATAGGATAGGACGTTGGGTGGACCCCAGAGCCGGTCTGGACGACGTAGAGAATTCTTGTTCCTACCGGTACTCGAACTCCGACCTCTCGGCCGTCCAGCCCACACCCAGTCGCTATACTGACTGCGCTATCTCGGCTCCTCACTTCCAGCCCGTAGCCAGTCGCTATACTGACTGCGTTATCCCGGCTCCTCACGTCCAGCCCGCAGCCAGTCGCTATACCGACTGCGCTACCCCGGCTCCTCACGTCCAGCCCACAGCCAGTCACTATATTGACTGAGCTATCCCCGCTCCTCGCGTCCAGCCCACAGCCAGTCGCTATACTGACTGCGCTATTCCGGCTCCTCACGTCCAGCCCGCAGCCAGTCGCTATATTGACTGAGCTATCCCCGCTCCTCACGTCCAGCCCACAGCCAGTCGCTATACTGACTGCGCTATCCCGGCTCCTCAGGTCCAGCCCGTAGCCTGTCGCTATACTGACTGCGCTATCCCGGCTCCTCAGGTCCAGCCCGTAGCCTGTCGCTATACTGACTGCGCTATCCCGGCTCCTCAGGTCCAGCCCGTAGCCTGTCGCTATACTGACTGCGCTATCCCGGCTCCTCAGGTCCAGCCCGTAGCCTGTCGCTATACTGACTGCGCTATCCCGGCTCCTCAGGTCCAGCCCGTAGCCTGTCGCTATACTGACTGCGCTATCCCGGCTCCTCAGGTCCAGCCCGTAGCCTGTCGCTATACTGACTGCGCTATCCCGGCTCCTCAGGTCCAGCCCGTAGCCTGTCGCTATACTGACTGCGCTATCCCGGCTCCTCAGGTCCAGCCCGTAGCCTGTCGCTATACTGACTGCGCTATCCCGGCTCCTCAGGTCCAGCCCGTAGCCTGTCGCTATACTGACTGCGCTATCCCGGCTCCTCAGGTCCAGCCCGTAGCCTGTCGCTATACTGACTGCGCTATCCCGGCTCCTCAGGTCCAGCCCGTAGCCAGTCGCTATACTGACTGCGCTATTCCGGCTCCTCACGTTCAGCCCGTAGTCAGTCGCTATACCGACTGCGCTATTCCGGCTCCTCAGGTCCAGCCCGTAGCCAGTCGTTATACTGACTGAGCTATCCCGGCTCCTAAAATATGCAGTTATTGGAAGGACACCTGTAGAGCGGAAGATCGGTGATATGAGCCACAACAACTCTGCTGACAAGAGACCGGACCCCATGTATGGAAGGTCCGAAAGCTGACTGCATGGGTACAAGAAGACATTGAGGGTTGTGATGGCAAACCGCTGTACATCCTGTACTGTCAGCAGCCATATCCTCACATTTATTGCAATAAAGATTTAATTAGCATGTTCGCAGGAGCCCGCCACTGGGGCTCAGCCAGATTAATCCAGGATATCCTTTTTAACATTCAGTTTAATATTGTAGCATGTAGACCCGTTGCTGGGTAACGGTCACGAAAAGACGCCTGTTGCTGCGTCATCGGAGTCTTAATAAACGGTGTTACGCAACCCGTTGCTGGGTAACGCAAAATCACCATAGAAGAATGAACGGTGTTTTCTACGTGGTCATTGCCGAAGAGTTATCTTGAAGTAAATTGGGGAGACCGAGTCAGTTCTGCAGGGGTGGTTGCGAAAGAGGACTTGAGCGCGGGAAGCTGAAGAATCTCCAGTTAGCAGCGGTTGTCAGGTAATGGCTGATGAAGAAAGAAGGCTGGAAAAACTTAGCGGGTGCTGCGGTGATTTGTGAATTGTGGAGATTAGCGTTGGCGCTGTAATTACTTGTACTTATGAGTCTTGTGTAATTAAGTGGCCAATAAATCGAGTCACCAATCCATACCCCGTCTATAGTTGCCCCTACACGTGATAATGATATTATTCCATCTATACCTGGGCTTCGACAAGTAATTTCTTACCTTCAGACCACAGCTATGATGTTACATAAAGCAAGTAAAGTAAAGGCATCCCGTAACAGACCGTGGAGGCCCATAGGGTTGTGAGATGTTGAGGTGCTCACATTTTCTAGACAATCGGCGCATAGATGGCGGCAGGTTCTGAGCCCTACTCTGTTGGAGGCTGAGTCGACCACAGGGCCATAGTGCGACTGGAAGGATTACGTCAATTGAAAAAAAAGAAAATCCAATGACCTCATCGGGACTTGAACCCGCGACCTTCCGGCTTGTAGCATAGTGCCTCAACCAACTACACTACCCCGTATTTTTCCCATGCTCTCCCCTCTCCTCCTCCTAGGTCTGATAAACCAAACTAGTTTCTGTGACGAGAACAAACCATGAAGCCGTTCACTGTATCATGTCCCGTGATCCGTGCGCATTGCCAATGGACGGCCGACTGTAATCTGTTCAGAAAACTGAACAGGCAATTCCGGGCAGAATTCATAAAGCCCACTTCTCTCCTCTATAGATTTGTGGTCCTAGGGATATAACAAGGCTACAATTACCATTTTAGTTTTGTGGATAACTTGTTACTCAAGAATGAATTCCGTCAACGTCAAATTACTGATACACAAGCTGTGATTGTCACGTGGTCGCCATGTTGTTACGTTACATTACGCAAAATTTTAACATATTTCTAAGGTTTGTTGTTATGCTTTGTCTGAGGGCCCCAAACACAATGGCAGCATTCTCCCCCTCGTAATGTCCTTACCGAAAGTACCTCGCGTAGATGGCAGGAAAACCGTTCACACAAAGTTAAGCATACAGGCCTGTGTCGGCTTGACTTACCGCCCCCGTTCTTGTAGCACAGGTAGGGAAAGCGCCACACGTTGGCCAGGTCGACGGCAAATCCTATGACTGACAGTAGGAAGTCCACCTTCTTGCTCCAGTTCTCCCTAGCCTCTCCATCCCCCGGCAGGGCCCCCCCGCAGGGGGTCGGTGTGCGTGTGTTGGTGGCGTTGGGGGCCATGGCCAGCTCTAGCCCTGGCAGCTGGGGGCCTCCTCTCTGTAACAGACGGAACGGCCTCATGACAATCACCGCCTCCGAGGTTACGGAATGGGCTAAGCAGCTAAGCAACAGCAAGCGTTTTCTGCCTTGCTACGAGGGCGTCAGTAGATAAGTCACAAACGGATATAAAACGTAAAACTTGCGGTATTCGAACCTGGAAGAAAACATTTATTTCTCGACATATTCTCCATCAATACTGATACACTTGTCTCAGCGATTTAGCATTGCCTCGAAACTCGCAACACAGAAGTCTTTTGGCTGTTGTCCCAGACACTTCTGCACCTAGTCGGGTATTATTTGCGACTTTCGGACGTCCTTCAGAGAATTTCTGGACCCAGTTGTGAACCACTTAAAGCGACATTCACTTCCCACCATAAACAGGAAACATTTCTTTATGAATATCTTTTGCACTGAGTCCTTTTGCCCACGAAAAAAGAATATACCTATGCTCTTCGGTAGTACACCCTTCAGGAACGGTCACCATTTTGACTACTGAAACAAGTCTGTGCTGCTATCTAGTAATAGACGTAGAAAACCTATTATGTCCATTACAGCTGTTTTACTTCCATTTGTAACCTATTTACTGACTCTCCCTAATACAATGGATTCTGTGTTCTTCGTCTGTACTTCAGTCGATGAAACTTGAGCATTTAGTAAGCGTACGAATATAATCCTTGTTCTTAGTCATTTATTCTACAGTGCTTGCAGTAGCTTGGACTGCATAGCGTCTAAATGCCGCGCCATAGTTCAGGCGGCTAGTCGCCGGCTTCCCAGAGCGATGGCCCGGGTTCGATCCCAGGTCAGGTCATGTGGGATTTGTGGTGGACAAAGTGGCAGTGGGGCAGGTTTTCTCCGAATACTTCGGTTTCCCCTGCCAATTCTCATTCCACCAACTGTTGCACGCTCATCATCTATTATCTGGCGCTGGTAAAAGAAGCCAGGCAGTGGGCGAGGCACCAAGTGGACTCAGTCTCATAGCGTGTAGTGGAAGGTGCTGGCGAATGAATTGGTCGTGGTCTATTCTAGGAAATATCTCGGCATTTACCTGGAGGAAATCAGGAAAATTACAAAACGCCTCAGCCAGGACAACTGGGTATCCCAGCCGAGATTCGAACTCAGTATTTCCAAAAAACAAGGCTTGGGTATTAGCGCTATGCTAACCCGCTCGGTACGTGTGATGTAGCAGGAAATTCAATGGCCTGACTTGAAATGTACAGGGAAGGGCAGCAGAGATGTAGAATAATTCTTTGTTAAGTACAGAACGAGAATATGTCATTACGAACTTATTTAAGAAATTCTTCAGCAGGATATTAAAAAAAATTTTTATCTTATAATCTTTGAGTCGGAAGGAAAACACAAGTGACCACATTCTGTGAATAGATACATATACACATGCTCACATGAGTAGAAGGAATTCAATCAATGGGATCTGAATACTAGAGATAACAAAAAGAAAACTCCGTGGTTTTAGTCCGCAAGCGAACTATACTGACCGAGCGACCACCGCTTGTCGGCGAAGTTAGTGCCAACTTTAGCGGATAGGGGGTGTCACGTGGTCAGCGCAACGAATCCCAAGGGCGTTAATTTTGGTTTTCTAGACCGGAGCCGCTGTTTCCTTGAAATAACTCCTCAATTATCCTCACGAGGCTGAGTGGACCCCGTTCCAGACCAACTACTTCTCAGACAAATCTGGTAGAGCCGGGAATCGAACCCGGATCTCTGGATCTGTAGCCAGAGACTCTAACCATTCGACCACAGAGGCGGTCGAATATTAGAGACAAGACGCTTAAAATGTTTTGACAAAAATTTATTTTTGTGCCAGAGAGAGAGAACTGGAGAAACAGAATTAAAATGTTCGTTCATTCCTACAAAACGAGAATACTGTTGATTTATAAACACAGGGGTCACAAGAAGCTAATTTACTAAAACATTAGACGATAAACACACAGGGAACAAAACACAATTATTTTGGGTTTCGGGTACTCACGTCGGTGACAACAGAGAGTGCTTCTGGGACATGCAGTCTGCTACAAATTCAGAGACGTTTCGGAGGAATGTGCTGTGGAATTCTACGGATTGCCGAAGTTCTACTTAATCATTTATTTATCTTTAAATTCAGCAATGATATGCCTCCATCTTCAGGGTCTAAGAGTAAGCCAAACAAGCAACCAATAAGAAGCAAGCAGAGCTCTGAAACCGGGCTACAAGGCGTCATGTCCCAGGAAGTTGATTTCTTTAAAGCTTACTTACAATTACTGCTTCCGCTTTTCCCGTTAAAACTCTACCGGCGCCCTTATTATTATTATTATTATTATTATTATTANGCTCTTTCCCCGGGGTAAATCGGCCGGGGCGTGAAGCTGACCACTCACCTCCAGCTAGTGTCGAGGTCAAGAAAATGTGGATCTATACATCCATTCTCCCGTACACCTTCATGGTGCATTGCTTAATTATTTAAGCACAGGGACAACTTTACTCTTTTAGCAGTAGTCGTATTTGCTTCTAGTTTTGCAGTTGCTAGTGTACACTTAGCAGACAGAGGAACTTGAATGCGATATAAATTCAAGTCAGAAGCCTCACAAAATTCTTTCTCAGAGAATAATAAATTCAAGCGCAAGAAACGCTTTAGGCATAGCCGTTATTCCGTACTGATTGAACTGAAAAGTTTTCCCATGAGAAGCACTTGGAACTCTCTAGAGAGCATTCCACTTGATTGCCCCCAGAAGATCTGCTGCAGACGCCTGAGAGATGCAATTCCGTTTAACCTGTCGTCCGTACAGGCTGTCCCTTGTGATCCATCCTGTAAGATGCGTGTCGTGTCACTTGGAGGAACAGTGAAAGTGGCATAGCGCACTCTGAGAGGGCGACATCTTCTGTCATACGTACAGAAGAGAGCAATCTCGAGAACCGCTAGCATCGCTGCAAGTCCGAGCCATTTAAGGCCCGGTAGCAGCAGCTTGAATCAGCAACTACTACCTGAGTCAAAACAGTCAATGTATTGTCAAGATTATGTGTGACTACAGACGGGGTATGGATTAGTCAATGAATTTAGTGACCACTTATACACACGACTCAGAACTACAAGCAATTACAAGGCTATCGTTAATCTCCACGATTTACAAATCACAACGGCACCCACTAAGAAAATTCCAGCCTGTCTTAACCAGCCGTTCCCTGGCAAGGGCTTTAACGGTGGAGATTCTTCAGCTTCCCGCATTCAGGTCCTCTTGTCACAACCTCCCGTGCAGAACTCTTGCCAACTGTCAACTCAACTACAGCGTCATCTCTTATCAACTTCCCTTGCAAAGCTCAACTGAACTGCCAGTCCTCAACTGGCTGGATTGTCCCAATTCTCTTCTTTATAATAAATTTGCGTGGGCTACATCGAAAACACCGTTCTCCTGGTGTTGTATGCGTGTTGATTTCCGAGGGAAAGTGTTTACCGAGCCGTTGCTCAGGAACGGTCGCCTGATTATTCACCTATTGCATAGCAGCGGCTGTACTCTTTGTTTCGAGGTCTTCGCCCAGTAACGGCTATGTACGCCACGATATACTGTACAGTCTCTATGCAACCTTCATGCCGCTGTCTTCTCTGGGAGGGATATTATTGCGCTCAGTTAGTTTAACTGCTGAAATTATGCTTTGGTCTGCAGATACACAGTTCTGTTTATTTCAGCTTATCATTACACAATGTGTTCTGAACTGAGGCTGTACACATTAGACGTGGCTGTTTCCGTCCCTTCCTCCCCGTCTCGCAGGTGTCAAGATTAGAGTTTTGGCGCTAGGTTAGCTCTGAGGTGCTTGTGTCTGGATTGCTAGTTGACTGCCTTACCTTTCGATCCTGATCATGGAGGCAGTAAGTACTTCCGAAACGTCTTACTGAATCTGACGGCCTTATGGCCCAGACAGCAGTACTCTTCTTCAGCAGACTTTGTGATACATAAATGCACATCTAATTTAACACAGAGGAACGGCATAGCTCAGTCAGTATAGTGACTGGGCTATAGGCTGGGCAACCGAGGGATCCACTTTCGATATCCGGCAGTGAAAAGATTTTTTTTTGTATCTCCGCAGTGCCCAGACCGACAGCCTCGTATGCAATGGATACAAGGAGCTATTTCCTTTGGGGTGAAGGGGCAGGAGCGTGAAACTCACTAACTTAAACCCAGTGCACAGGCAATGACTGCGTGGAGGTTACACTGCTGCTCTGAATTCACGGCTGGTATTTATTTACAGACAGCGGCAAATGTCACACTGCAAGGTGGCTGTAATTTGCGTTCACGAGAAATATATTTAGGGCAACTGGAACCGTCTGCCTATGTCCGCCATTGCCGGGTTACCAAATGAATATTATATAGAGGGTATCCGAGGAGGAAAGGTGAATATTCTGGGAGGTCACGGCATCGGCCATGCTAAGCAACAATGGTATATGTACATGTGTTCTATTCCGAACGGTTCCCGAAATAGAGCTATTTCACTGTACAGACGAACAACACGCCATGTCCTCACACGAGTTGCACCCAGGTACAGTTATTTCACTACGAGTATACAGTACACTGTATACTGTGCAGACGAGCAACACGCCATGTCCTCACACGAGTTGCACCGAGATAGAGCTATTTCACTGTACAGTACACTGTACACTGTAGAGACGAGCAACACGCCATGTCCTCACACGAGTTGCACCGAGATAGAGCTATTTCACTGTACAGTACAGTACAGTACACTGTACAGACGAGCAACACGCCATGTCCTCACACGAGTTGCAAAGTGCATTGATGATGACGGTGGGATTTTCGAAAATGTATTACACTAGGTAAACTGTACCAGCTCTGTCACTTGAACAATAAATTAGAAACAGTACATAATATATCTTTCTTATCACCAATATTGGAATTGTACAGTGAAATAGCTCTATCTCGGAAACCGTTCGGAGTAGGACGCATGTACATATTGTTATGTATCCTGGTAATGTGACAAGTAATTAGCGGGTTCTG